AGTCAAAGAAATTAAAGAAATACTAACAACTCATAGTACCAAGTTATCAAAAATCTTCTCGCTCTAATGAAAACCAGTGTAAGATTTAATCTTGTCGAGTGCTCGCTTCTCATGATTTGATAGCAAATCCATCCTTAGCGCATCCGTGTTGATCTCGGGCCACGAGAAGCGGGCTAATATAGCATTGGCTCTAAAGACACTAATGAATTTCTCATTTCAGTCCTTATTAGAATTGGTGGAATTAGATACACGTTTGTGGTTGTCCAAGATCTGAAGATAGTAATGGCCATCTTGCTGATTAACCTTCACATTAATGAGATGGCCGAGAACTCTTAGAGTCGGCTCAAGCCCCAGTTGGTTTGCAGATAACCACAAACCCCACCAGAGTAGCTATTGAGTTCAGCTAAATCTGCGACGGTGAAATTCGTAGGACTCCGAAGACACAACAAAGAAAAGGATAGAGCGGAAGACATAGGCCATACTCCAAGTGCTAGATATACACTGGAGCAATATTATTGCCATGCTTGTACACAACCTGGCCTTTTTCTAGCGTTGATAGAGTGAACGTCGCACATTGCCTACTGACCAAATGTATGCAATTTCTGCACACTTAGAGAGAACTATATCAGTTCCTTTCTCCCCTTCAGGTCATAACTAACATCATCGGAGGAGGAATCACTAGAGAGCCCAACTCTGATCCTCCAACTTGTTGCGTATGTGCATGACTCTCTTCCTATCAAGATATCAGCCATCAAAGAAGATCAATGGACCCTGAGCTCTTCAAAATCAGCCCTAAATTCCACTGTTAACTATCTTACATCAACAAGAGCAATTTTATCTTAATAGATAAGAAGTGTGGAGATGACTTGTATCTGGTGATGAGAACATTGATTGAGATAGAGCTTCATCTCCACAAAGGGTATTAGATCACAAGAAAGAGGGGTTTGTGCCAAACATGACTTTCTAAAAAGAGTTAATATGAGAGTTTGTCTTAAAATGGAATCAATAAGTCCATAACAAGTCCAAGCTAAACTCGAAGGCAAGATTGGCGTCAAATCGACAAAAGATGTAATATCAATCGGGGAGTAGTAATAACCTCTAAAGAAGTTTTGCTGGTTGCCGAAAATAAATGAACAAATTTCCCCAATACCATAAAATACAAGCATAATTAGCAAGGGGAAATCATGTCAAGGCCCCAATTTTAAAACCCCCATGTGACCAACTCCTTCAACATTTCCCCCTTGTGTAAAAGCCCCCAAAATCCAAAAAAAAAATGTGATTCATCTCTTATTCCCTGCCAACTAAGCACAGAGGAAGAGAGGGAAAAAATTTCTAAAATGCCCTTATTTTCTACTCTCTTCTCTCCAGATTTCAATCTCCATAGCTCCTCCTTCATCCTCTCTTCTCCTCCCCTCCTCTCTCCTAACCTTAACCTTTCCTCCTCTCTACCTCTTCTTCCTTTTTTTCCTCCGCCACCAACATCCCCCTCCGCCACCATCGACCTTTGGTGCACGCTCCAGCCATGTTGTCTCTTTCTTCGGCCTCGCTCACCGCCACCACCAACCTTGAGAACACCCTCCATCCTCACAGTCTCCCTCTCCCACCTCCCTCTCTGCCACTATAGACATCAAGCACATCCTCAACAAGTTTGCCTCAAATGTCTATGACAAGGGGTCCTTCTTCGAGATCACTGCCAAGAAGAAGGTCATAAGGGACCCTAGGTGATGTATGGATCTTGAGTTGAGTATTATATTTGTCGTCTATGTTAGAGCATAGCCACAATATTGGGTGTAAAAAGATTCATGTGAAAGCTTTTCAAAAAGCAGAGGATTCAACTTTTCATAACAAGCAGCAAGTTCCACAACACCTGTAAGCTACCGGTTTTTTAGAGAAATTTGTAATTTCTATTTAAACACCGTGAAAAGATAAAAACTTAAAGAAATATAGGCTAAATGTGTTTTCTGTTTGACAAATTTTGATGTTAAGTTCAATATGTGTGATGTTAAGTCTAATGAGTGGAAAGTAAAGTCCAAGTGCTTGTATGTTAAGTCTATAGAGTTGAATAATAAGTCGAAAGATAGAATATTAAGTATCATGAATTATACGTTAAGTCTAATTTATTGAATGTTAAGTATAATTTGTTACATATTAAATCTAATGCATTATATATTAAGTCTAATTGGCATGATGTTAATTCTAATTTGTTAAATATTAAGTGTAATTTGTTACATGTTAAGTCTAATGCGTTGTATGTTAAGTCTAATTGGTTCTAATTGGTTGAATGTTAATTCTATAAAGTTAAATATTAAGTCTAATCAGTTAAATGTTAAGCCTAATTGGAAGATATTTTTTATCTATGAAAAGCATGTTATTTTTAATGAAAATGATGTTAAGTTTAAACTATCCCATGTTAATTCTAATGAAAAGAATGTTAGGTTTAATTTGTTGAATGTTAATTCTAATTAGAGGAATGTCAAGTCTAATAAGTTGAGTGTTAAGTCTAATCAAAATATTGTCAAGTCTAATCTGTTTAATGTTAAGTCTCGTTTGTTAACTCAAATTAGTTAGATGTTAACTACAAAAGGGAAAATAATTAACATTGAACTAATTTGAGTTAACAAACGAGACTTAACATTCAACAGAATTAGACTTGACAATCTTCTTATTAGACTTAACATTCAACTTATTAGACTTGATGTTCCTCTAATAAGAATTAACATTCAACAAATTAGACTTGACATTCCTCTCATCAGAATCAACTTGAGATAGTTTAGACTTAACATTATTTTCATTACAAATAACATGCTTTTCATTAGACAAAAAATATCCTTCAATTAGGTTTAATATTTAACCGATTAGACTTAATTCTAACTCTATAAACTTAATATTTAACCAATCAGAATTAACATCACGCCAGTAGACTTAACATACAACGTATTAGACTTAATATGTAACAAATTACAATTAACATTCAATAAATTAAACTTAACATATGATCCATTATACTTAACAATCTACCTTTAGGCTTATTATTCAACATAATAGACTTATCATACACGCTCTAGGACTTCACTTCTAACTCTATAGACTTAACATCGAACCAACTTGAATTAACATCATGCTAATTAGACTTAACATACAACGCATTAGACTTAACATGTAACAAATTAAACTTCACATTTAATAAATTAGACTCAACATATAATCCAATACACTTAACATTCCACCTTTAGACTTACTATTCAACCAAATAGACTAAACATATAAGTCGTTGGACTTATTATTCAACCCAATAGACTTAATATATAAGCCCTTGAACTTTCACTTCCAACTCATTAAACTTAACATTCCACTTTGGACTTGAACTTAACATAAAAAATTGTTAAATAAAAAACACATTTAGCCGACGTTTCTTTAAATTTTCATATTTTGATGATATTCAAACAGAAATTACAAATTCTTTTGAAATAAACGATAGCTTACAAGTCTTGTGGAGCTTGCTGCTTGTTATGAAAAGTCGAATCATCTACTTTTTAAAAAGCTTTCATATGAATCTCTTTACACCCAATATTGTAAGCAATACATCAAACATCTACTAAGCATCAAATACGATACTCAAGTCAAGATACATACATTATCTAGAGTCTCTTATGGTCTTCTTCTTGGCGGTGATCTAGGAGAAGGTGATCTGTAATAGACATTGGAGGCAAACTTGTTGAGGATATGCCCGAGGTCAGTAGTGACGGAGAGGGACGCGAGAGACGGAGATTGCGAGGATGGAGGGTGCGCTCAAGGTTGGTGGTGGCGGAGGACTAGGTTGAAGAAGGAGACAACATGGCCGGAGCACGCACCCAAGGTCGATGGTGACGGAGGGGAATGCCGGTGTCTGAGAGAAAAATGAGGAAGAGGGATAGAGGAGGAAAGTTAGGGTTAGGAGAGAGAATGAGAGGAGAGGAGGGAAGGAGGAGCAATAGAGATTAAGATCTAAAGAGAAGAGAGAGAGAGGAGGAAATAACGACATTTTGGGATTTTTTTTTGTTTTTCCCTCTCTCTCTCTGTGCTTAGTTGGTAGGGAATAAGGGTTGAACCACATTTTTTTTTTTTGAATTTTAGGGCCTTTTACACATGGGAAAAGGTTGACGAGGTTGGTCACATGGGGTTTTTAAAACTGGGGTTCTTAAAAGTGTGGAGATAACTTGTATCCGGTGACGAGAACATTGATTGAGACATGGCTTCGTCTCCACGAACGGTATTGGATCACAAGAACGAGGGGCTTGCGCCAAACACGAGTTTCTAAAAAGAGCTAATATGAGAGTTCGTCTTAAAATGGAATCAAGAAGTCCATAACTAAACAGGGAGGCAACAAATAGATTTGGGTCGAATCGACAAAAGATATGATATCAATCGGGGAGCAGTAACAACCTCCAAAGACGTCTCGCTGGTTGCCGAAAACAAACGAACAAATTTCCCCCAGTACCATAAAACGCAAAGCATAAGTTAGCAAATATATGGACACAGCAAACTAATCTGCAAATAAAATAGACACGCATGCATACCAGCAAAAGAACCTTAAAAAAAAAAAAAACACCTCCCCAATACTACAATTCCACCACAGGAATCCAACCCGCTCAACCTGCTCCCCCTGTGAAACAGCTGGGGGATTCCCGACTGTGTTTCAAAATCCTCTCCCTCGCCCCCTCTCCACTTTTCTTCTATATTCTTCTGTTCCATTATTCCCTCTCTCTCTCTCTCTTCTTCCTCGGTTTCCGTAATCCCAAACCTAGAGAGAGAAACAGCCAATTACAATGCCATCATAGTCTAGGGTTTTTTTTTTACCACCCCCCCCCCCCTGAAAAAAAAAAAAAAATGGGCATCTGCTACGCAAAACCCTCGCCTTTCTCCTCCCAAACCCCCTCCCAATCCCCACCCAATCGACCCCAAGATCAAGATCGGCCTCAAGACAAGGGAGCGACCACGGCCACCAGCAAAAACGATGAGAGACTATCAACGACAAAGCCCTGGGCCTCTCCCTTCTTCCCGTTCTACACTCCAAGCCCAGCCCACTCCCTCTTCTCCAAGAAATCCCCCTCGCGGTCCGCCGCGTCGACGCCCCGGCGGTTCTTCAGGATGCCGCCGTCGCCGGCGAGCCGGAGGAGGGGGAGGAGGAGGAGAGGACCGGGGCTCTTTTGGACAAGAGATTTGGGTTCGGTAAGGGGTTTGAGAAGAATTTTGAGATGGGGGAGGAGGTGGGAAGAGGGCATTTTGGGTATACTTGTTTAGCTAAGTTTAGGAAGGGGGAGATGAAGGGGGAGAAAGTTGCTGTGAAGGTCATTCCAAAGGTTAAGGTAAAAGTTATAATTTTTAATGGTTTTATTTTGTTCAAGTTGTAATTAATAAAAAAAATTATTTCTTTAGTAATTGCTGATCTCTTTGGTTATGAGATGTTAAACTGCCCCGTATGCATTGCTACTTGCAGATGAAGATGGAAATGTTGTGAACTGTATCAATTTGACCACTTTAAGCTTTTCCCCTGTTTATGTGTACATAGGAAGAATATGAGATAACTTTCTCTGTTGCCTATCCGTTATTTTCTAGATTGTGTGTGGTGGTGATGGTGTTTGTGTGTTTGATTGTTTGTTTGTTTGTGTGTTTGTTTGTACGTGTGTTTGTTTGTTTTTGTGTGTGTAGCCCCCATTTGTATAACATCGTGACCTTTGAACTAATAATATTTTGTTAGTTAGGATGTGCAACATATTTCATACTACATACTCAGAATCTGCTTATTATGCGGTATTTTGAAAGGTAAAAAAAAAGATGGAAGAAAATACGTGGGAGAAAATCACCTTATGTTGCCCATGACATAAGAGAAAAAGTATGCATTTTCTTCTATTAGGTTTGAAGATGCAGTAGACACCAATAGCTCAGTGTCCAATAGCAATAAACTGGTTATATAATATGTTCTAATTATGATTTTATTTTTATATATGTTTCTAACGATATGGCCATATTATGGTTTGATGGCAGAAGTTATATATCTATATTTTTAATTTTGAAGTAGTTTTGACTGAAATGGAAACAATTATTTTCTGGCAGATGACGACCACGATATCCATTGAGGATGTTAGAAGAGAGGTGAAAATTCTGAGTGCTTTAACAGGTCATGCTAACCTGGTTCAGTTTTATGATGCATATGAAGATAAAGACAATGTGTATATAGTAATGGAGTAAGTTTTGTTATTGCTTCGAAAACTGTTGCTGTTTTTCTCAATTGCTTTACTTTTTATTTTCTTTTACAAGTACATTATGCTACTTTATTAGAATGTTAACTTGCAAGCCAGTATATGTTTTCAAAAAAAAAAAACCATCACAAGGTGGTAGATACAAATTACGCAACACAGTAAACCATTGACAATCGACACCTCTTCATCTTTATAATCCACCCATGAGATCTGAGGTCCTCACACTCATTGATGTAATTGTAAACTAAGTGTAGAGTTCAATAACAAAACAAGTGATGATAGTTAATATGGGCTGGATAAGGAATTGGTAAATTACATGAAAGGTTTTTGGGAGAATAAAAAAATTTGAATATTCCCAATAGATGGTAAATCTATATTTTGGAATATGGAGTGCGTAGCGGGAGTATATCCCTCATTGCTAGCTTGGGAAGCTACACTGTAGTTGATATTGAGTGATCATTTTTAACGTCACTAATCCAAAGGCGAACGTGAAATCTTGATTTCATTTGGTTTCTTTATGGAAGGGCTGATTTACTGAAAATTTGATCTATAACATCTATATCAGCTTTTTCCCCCTTTCCTGTTGATGCATCCACTGCTACTTGTTTTGTGGGATGCCCTAAGCAGTTAGGAATAAATCCATGGATAGTTTCTGTACAAAAATGATTAATGTTCCGAATTTTCCAATCGTATATAGGTGTTAATCATCAATAGCATAGTCCACTTTGTGATTTAAATCACCACCACAAGGAAGTTGAAATTCCTGTCATGACATTATCCTTTTCCTCTTATCTCGTCTGATACACAAATGCAATGCATTTAATTTTATATGCTGTTTAGCAATACATTGGATTGTAGCCAAGGCCATTCTTTATGCTAGAGATTCAGAAGCTGCTTTGTTCCAGCATTGTGGTTGATAATAAATTGCAATTTAGATTTTATTACTACTGTGACAGCTGAAAAAAATACACAAAGTGTTTCATGTTTCAATGCTGTTGTTTTTCTGAATTTTTTCTTGCTTTAGTTATACTAATGGAGAGATAGTTGATTGTCTATGAAGATATTCAACAATTTGTACATTTCTTCCTTTCTGTGACATTAATATATATGATGTTTAAATCTGCTACAGCTTTTCCTTTTGAGAGATAAATTGTGATATTAGGAGTGAACTACCTACAATAATTGTGCTTCGGGTCTTATATATCCATTAAAGACAGGCGTTAGGTAAATAGAAATATTGAGGCGAAAAATGTGCAGTACGATTGAACAGTACACCTTTTTACTTTCCGTCAAACTCATTACCTCTGTCAATAATTAAACACCATTAAGTTCACTTGCATGTAAAACTTTTGTTTAAATTACATGCTCTGGATACACCAGTTGCTATATGTGTCTGGAACAAAATTTTAACAAAAAAAATTTCTTGTATTAAATCTGGATTTTTTTTCACAACTATTATTCTGACAATTTGTTATTGGCTCTTTCAGATTATGTGAGGGAGGAGAGCTGTTGGAGAAAATACTATCAAGGTATGTTTTCTTGCTAACTTTTGGTTTTATATTAGATATACATCCTCATTGGTCCTACTTATTATGATCTTTTACCTAAAGTAAATATGTTGTCTAGGGGTGGGAAATACTCAGAAGATGAGGCGAAAGCTGTGCTGGTACAAATACTGAGTGTTGTTGCATTCTGCCATCTCCAAGGAGTGGTTCATCGGGATCTCAAACCAGAGGTAATTTTCATAGATGTATGTTACCGTCCTGTCTTTAACAGTGCTTGTTAACTTGTGAATCTAGGTTGCAGGGTTTGATTTTATCCAAGTTTTATTGTTTTGATAAAGTTTTTGGTCTTTTGGCAATGACCATGTGAGAGTCTCTTTGGAGGGTGAAAAATCTTTCTAAGAAAAGGGAATGTGTTGTTCATGGGGCACGCATTTTAGCTTAGTGTTCACTTGCCTCATTGTTTTCTGTTAATTGTACTGTTTAATTCTCTTCTAATTTAAATGAGGTACCAAGTTACCAGCCCCTTTTGTTTCTTTAGTATCTCGAAATGTTTACTGCATAAGTGCCATGTGTTATATTCTCTGAAATATAATTCATGCTACGATTGGCAAGCACTTTTAGCGTATTTATAATTCAATATGTGAACCAATTTGCACGCAGTAGCTGCATATACTGTTACATTCCTGTGTGTCATTTTGCATTTGGCTAATTGGGAGGTCTACTCCAAAGTATGATCTGTGCTTCCTGTGATTCAATTTTATATCTTACATTCTAAGCTGGGATACTAAGATATTATACTTCTTTTTTTTCTCCTTTCTGCATGTGCTTGTGTTTCCGGCATTAACAGCCATGAGTTATCCTTTGGAAAATATATTTCATGCATACGTTTTATAATTCGAGCATCATTTTCTCATGGTGTTTTTTTTCATTCAATAGCAGCATGTGCTTTTACATTCTTGAATACCGTTTTGTTTTTGGATACTTGGGAGATCTGTTCCAATTCAATATGTGCTCCCTGTGATTCAGTTTTAAATCTAATATCCTGCACTGGGATACCAAAGTATTGATGCTTGAATAATTTATTACATGAAGAATGAAAATAGTAGAGGCAATGGTTGGACAGTTTACTTCAGGATAATAAAATACCTGATGTTTATTTTTTGGGGAATTGGACATGTGGACGGAAGAAGCATTTGTACCACAGACAGGTTCTAAAATTTTCATGAAGTTCTGCTCTATTTCCTGCTGTTTGCACAGGGGAAATAATGGATTGGTAAATAGAGGTTTAGGGTTGCTGGCATTTCCAGTTAAAATTGAACCATATACAGTTTTCCCCAACCCAAATTATTAGGAGTCAGAATGAGTTTTGACATGTGGGATAAGGTGAGCTTAGAAGCCAAATGACACATGCAGTTAGGTACGTCATGTTAAAATTCCTTGAAAATCACAGGAAAATAAGGCGTGTGAGCAGGTTTTCTCTTTTAAATGTCATGCAGGGGTGTATTCATCCGTGTTATGTTTACAATTCACATATCATGCACCAATTCTGCTTCCTTTGAGGTTGTTACTGGTAATTTGAAAGCTTATTTTTTTGGTCTTTGTGGACGTTCGTGGTAACATATTCAATTATTTATTAGCAATGTTATTTGAAACAAACTAGATCGTTTATTTACTGCAAAAGTTTCTAACTAAAGAGCATAGAAAATGTCCTTCTATCTTGACCCTGCCTAAGCTGCTGCTGTGTATAAATACACCTTCCATCTTCACTTATTGCATTTCTGTTTCAGTAGTCTAGCAAGTAGTTATTAGCCATATTTTTGTATTTCAACTTGCTGAATATATCTGTTTTTCCCTTGACCAGAATTTCCTTTTTGCTTCCAAGGATGAAAATTCCCAGTTGAAGGCTATAGATTTTGGCTTATCCGACTTTGTGAAACCAGGTTTGTTCTCAGTGTCGTATGTTTGTCCTTTATATCCTTTTGATCAATTTTTTAATTTACTGGTCTTAAAATGGCTTTATATATTCTATCTGATTGACATCTTCTCTACCTTTGGCAACTTTTCATCTGTTTGCTTGTGTGGTTTGCAGATGAAAGGCTTAATGATATTGTTGGTAGTGCATATTATGTTGCACCAGAAGTTCTACATAGGTCTTATAGCACGGAAGCTGATGTGTGGAGCATTGGTGTAATTGCATATATTCTTCTTTGTGGCAGTCGTCCATTTTGGGATAGAACTGAGTCTGGTATCTTTAGAACTGTTCTGAAAGCTAATCCAAGTTTCAATGAGTCACCCTGGCCCTCTCTGTCGTCTGAAGCAAAAGATTTTGTTAAGCGGCTGCTGAGTAAAGATCCACGAAGAAGAATGAGTGCTGCACAGGCATTGAGTGAGTGTTCTTACATATGCCTAATACAGTAAGTTCTGTTCCTTATCTGATGAAATCGGTGCTTCTGTCTGCAGCTCATCCTTGGATTAGAAGTTCTAGTGAGATTAAAGTGCCCCTTGATATTCTAATCTTCCGACTGTTGAAGTCCTACATGCGCTCTTCATCATTGCGCAAATCTGCTTTAAGGGTGCGTATTTATTGATATAATGATTTCTTTATTGCTTTGCATCGCTCAGTTTCTGTAATGATATCTGTGGACACCTGAATTTAAGATATAGTTGTTGGTTTAAAGTAGTTCAAGTAGTTAGCTGATGAATTAGATTGCTGATCGAATTGACAGGTTTCTTGACTATGGTCTTTGCTATTGAATGACTAGATTTTTGTTATCACTATTTTTAAGTATATAGTTGTATATGTATAATGATTGTAGAAATAGTTGATAGTATAGGAAAGGAGAATTATTTATATTCTTAAGAATTAGAGTTTAGCAGTTCAATCTATTTTCTTTTGTTTTCAAGCATGCAGAGAGAGAGAAGAGTTTAGCAATTCAGTCAAATTATTCATGAATACTTGTTTTTGAATTATATCCTTTTTAAGGTTGACTTTAATGAGATATTAATGAATGAAAAGCTTTCTTTTTGTCTTGCAGGCTCTGTCAAAGACATTGGCTGTTGACGAGCTAATTTATTTGAAGGAGCAGTTTGCACTATTGGAGCCAAATAAGAATGGATGCATTACCCTGGAAAACATTAAGATGGTTAGATATCCTTGTGATACACACTAATACTTCTCAATAAATTGCAATGCTAATTTTTGCCAATACGTGAATACATACTCTGCACTTGATAACTCCTTGTTACTTGCTTGCTAGGCCTTGATGAAAAATGCTACTGATATAATGAAAGAATCCCGTGTTCAGGACTTTCTCGTCTCGGTAATTTGATATTGTTCTATCTCACTTGAATTTTATTTTTGACCCTGTTATATTTTCCAACTGAAATTAAGAATGAAAACTGTGTTTTCTTCCATACCAGTTGAGTGCCCTTCAATACAGAAGGATGGATTTTGATGAATTCTGTGCAGCTGCACTAAGTGTACATCAGCTTGAAGGACTAGATAGATGGGAGCAACATGCTCGTTGTGCGTATGAACTTTTTGAGAAGGATGGAAACCGAGCTATATTAATTGATGAACTTGCTTCGGTATGTCCAGCTTTAAACACTGTGCCATATTACTAACCTTAATCAGCAGGAGACTTGTCTTTATCTGAGCGATGAAAAATATTTACCAGTTTTGTCTTGGTGATTTCAGGAGCTGGGGCTTGGCCCTTCGATCCCTGTACATTCTGTACTCACTGACTGGATCAGGCACACGGATGGGAAACTGAGCTTTCTTGGGTTTGTCAAGTTGCTGCATGGTGTCTCTAGCCGATATCTTACAAAGCCACACTAGCATATTCTTCTTGCATAAGGGGATGCAGATATCCTTTCTGATTCAATCACAATCGATATGCTATATGTACAGGTACTAATCACTGAAGGTGTGCTGCTGTGCATATACCAGTTTGGACTTTTACTCTAATGAGCAAGCGGAAAAACTGAGGAGCTGTGTTGGGGCTGGAGATTAGGCTAGGTCATGTACACTTTAGCGATCTTTTCTTTCACATAACCTGTGAAGCCCATTCTATAATTTCATATCATAGCGCACGTATCTTTTTAAGAGTAGAATTACTGACTAAAGTTGTATCAGGACGGTTATATCTCTGACCATCTTGGGCTGTAACCAGAGCAGATTAAATGCTAAGAATCACGAAATCTATTTTTGAATTATTTGGTTATCAGTCATTCATCTTTCAATCCCCATTCATCGTCTAGCTGCTGTCGGCTTTTGATGTTATTCTCAGATTTGACTTCCAGCTCTTTCTTCAGTTGTGCCTGTGGTTTATGCATGCATGACTAATTTCGTCTGTTCGAGTGCTTGTGTATGTGGATCTGGTTCCATAAATGGGCTGGTTGGTGATGTAGAGCATGTTACAATACAGGTCAAGTGAGCTCCTGCATCACCATCAGAAATCCGCCAGGGTGCTGGTTGGCTCTAGTCATGGAAGCAGCATGTCGTGAAGAAACATCAAACAGATTCGTGCTATGTTGATGTGGTATGGATGCGTGCTCGCTGCAGTGCCACAAAGTCTTAACATCCAACAGCATAGATGCTCGCTGCGCTTCCACGAAGAGTAAATCCACAAAATTGATACTTTAACCTGGTGATCATGCGAAGATGTGGAGGTAGGGACAGACAATGAACCAAATGAACCCATAAATGAAATTGGAAACTTTGGAAATAATTATTATCATTCGAGCTAGTTCCTTTCATACATATTGGTTGAGTTGTGGCTTAAAACATCAATTGGAGCTCGAGCTTTTTATGCCCAGCTTGGCCTGTTTTAGTTTCAAGGAGGAATTAAGGTACATACGACATTATATGACAATTTGTGTCCTCCCTTTAATCTTCTTTGGTGTTTTGAAGAAGAGCGTTCGGCTCTCTCTATACACGATATGTTAGAGGGTGAATTTTAGTTTCCCTTTGACTCATCGGTGTAACTCTTCGACTCTCTGGCAACAGGTAAAAATTCTACACTGGTTAAAAAAAGAAGCAGCATGAACTAAGTTAAGGTGAACCGTAGACTATTAAATTTAAGATGACTTTTAGGTAAATTGACAATGTGAATATTTGAGAAAGAAATTTAACAAAATAACGTTAGGTTATTATGAGATTAAAAAAGTAGGACGTAGGTAAAAGAATTGGTAGGGTGAACCTGTTACATTATCGGGTCGAATCTGACCTGTTGCCATGCCCGGTTCTTCAAGCCGCTATCCGAAATCAAAGTTCACCCGAAATAACTTCGATCCAAAATTTCGAGCTAACTGAAGGGAATTGGTGTTTTATTACCACTAGTACAGTGCATGTGCGTTGCACATGGACGTATTTGTTATATGTTTTAAGTTTTCTTGTCTAATAAGTTTATAACATTGATTATAAGGTTTAATAAACAAAAAAGCAAAAAACTTATAAGAAAGGTAAAAAATTCTATGTTTATTATGTTTGATTATGTAAGAAAATAATTAAAATTAATTATGTAAGAAATGTTTAAAAACTGGACATACTTGTTTTATGTTCAATGTTTTTTATGTAATAAGGTTAAAACATTGAGTGCAAGATTTAATAAAAAATAAAAAAGTAAATCATTGTTTCTAATGAAGGAGAATGTAAGAATATGAAAAGATAGAATTAAATCTAGAAAAAGGCAATTATTAAATTATATAATCAATGCTATTTATAATGTTAATATAGTAAACAGAATATATAAAATTAATTAAAATTAAATCCAACAATAATTTCTAGCTCATAACCTATTAATTTCTCACATTACCTCTTAACTACAATGGCATTGCTTAAAGAGAGTAATAATTGTTTTATGCACTGAGATCTATTTCAACCTTTTCATGCTTTCTAACTCTTCATTTAGAAAAGTTTTGTTGTATGATTCTTTAGTATTTATCTTCAATATTAGTGGGTGCATTGCAATAATCAGAAAAGGGTTAGTGTAGAAGTTTATTTTATCTCTTAGAGAGTTATTCTTTTTGGTACAAAGTTATATTTAACTAAATATCTTTAAAATTGCATATAAACCAAACAAATAAAATAAAATTGGAGATAAGTAACTTAATTTGGTTATTTGCATTTATACACCTTAAATCAGGGGTATTTGTAAAAAATACCCCTAAATCTTAACATTTACAAAACTACCCCTCAAATCAACTTTGTGGAAAAATACTCATAAGATCAACAAATCATCTACTTGTTGCTAAAATTTGACTATTTTGTTGATAGTTTTTACATTGCAATTACAAATTAACTTATCAAAGTTGATGATTAATTGCTTTGATGATAAAGTTTTTCCCCAAAATTGATGACTTAAGGAGTAGTTTTGCAAATACTGAGATTTGGAGGGTATTTTTGTAGCTACCCATGATTTAAGGGGTATATATGCAAATAACCCTTTAATTTTATTTGTTCTACTTACATCAATCAACTATCATATCAAGATTAGAGGTTGAGATATAGTATGTGTGTTTTGACAAAGGCTAAAATTATAGATGCGTGCATGACTCTCGAGGACTCATCCTTCACATTGTGGCAGCATCAAGAAAAGAAATGTACGTAGCTTCAAAAGATTTACAACTGGACACAAAAACATGTGATCAATTAGAAATAGATACCTAATTAACATGCTCCAATTATCCAACAAAAGGCAAATGTATACTCAATTTAAAGACCAATAAGAAAACATATACTTGGATCAAATGAAATAAAGTTTAACAGCTCCAAAAGTAGAAGAAAACTCTCAATGCAATAGAGCTCTTTTCCTCAGATGACTAAACTTTAACTCATCTGAAACTACAAATTTCTTATGTCATGAGCATAAAATCAATATATATATTCAACAATCTCCAATATCATTTCATGTGTATGATCCAAAAGTTAGTTGATACATAAGCTTGTTAGGCTTGTGACAAGGTAAATCACTAAATTCTAAGAAATGAATTGGAATGTCACACTGACGTAACTTCAAAATTGGTGGTAAGAGCTAGAAACTGGCTACATAAGCTTGTTAAGCTTGTTAGCCTCTCTCTCTCTCTCTCTCTCTCTCTCTCTCTCTCTCTCTCTCTCTTCTCTCTCTCCTTCCATCGCAGCCACCACGCTACCCCTCCTTCATCTCTCTTCGCTCTCTCTCCTCACTTCTTACACCACAACCGACCCACGCTCTCAGATATGCACACGGCATCCCCCTCTCTCTGATAGACTGCATCCTCGGCATTCTGTCTCGTCGCCATGGCCCTGAGCTTCGCCCAAGCCTCGCGCCTCACCCTGCGACCTCTCCTCTCTCCCTTACGCCCCGCCAGCCTCCTCATAGCGCGAGCGCTCTCCTCCACCAGCCCTCTACCCGCAATCACTAGATCCAAGCCGTCGCCCCGAGCTCCCACAACCCTCCTCTTTCCCAATGCAGATCACGGTCCCGAGTTTTCACTAGTAAGAATATAATGGACAATTTAGACGCATGTCATATTTCATTCGTAAGACTATAGTTAGCCCTTATCCTATCATCTCTATGAATTATGTCTTACTCCCAACTTTATCACTTTTTAACTCCGGAGCTTCCCACTGTTTCTTGCATCGTCACTTCCGGACTACACTCTCTTCTTATAACTTCTCTTTCCTTGTACCGGTCATTATTTTATGTGTTATTATTTTTACACTATGTTTTTTTTTATTTGACTCGTGTATCGTTTGATTGTGTTGATTTTTACATTATTTATTATATTATTTTATGTATCACACACAATGTTATATTGTATGTTTTTTTATTAAAAACGTACAAGTAACATAGTCTAATAAAAATCATTACTTATATATTTTCAATTGTTCAAATCATGTTCATTAAGTGCTTCACATTGCTCTAGATTTTACATATACATCACATAGCATATCTGATATATTCATATTATTTTTTTGTTTAAATATATTTTCGCATATCTAAATTGTGCATGTGTGCACTTTTTCTGTCATACAATCTATTATTTACTTATGTTTTAGATTATTGTATATTGTTCGTATTTTTAGTGATATACATTAATAAGTTCATAATTTTAATATTCTACATATGCATTACATTCTTATTCTTTATTTTTCAACCCATAATATTTTCAATACATAGTTATCTTATCAGTCAGTTTTGTCTTGTTAGGTTGTTTTAGTATGTTCACATTAGTTTTGTTATTTCTAAGAGAAATGTATTTCTATTTTGATATTCAAGCAATTACTCATATTGTTAAGTTTAGAATTGAGTTACTAATTATATAGTTATTTTGTTACATTAGTTATTATTCTTTTATAACTAATATAAAGATAATTTTAAATAGTGTTTGTGGGTAAGCATGGTATTTACTCATGGGTTATTAATAGTGCATTTGCATATTTGTTGTTGTTTCTTTATTTTCGATATGTATTATCTTGTCATATCGGCAATATTCATTATATATGCATATTATTTTTTAGTGTTTATTTTATAGTGCTTTTAGATTTTTATGTCTTTTTGTGTCATTGTTTGTTGTTTATTCTCTATTCATTATTTTCGTTTACTTGTGTTATGTTTTACTTTTTCATTCTTTTATACTTACTATTCTTTTTTATATTATAGTGTATTCACATAGATTATTATATTAATGATGTATACTTTTTTATTGATTTATAGTCATTCATCATTTCTAGTACCAATTGTGTTTAATCGTGTTCTATTTCATGTGTTATCAGTGTTTATGTTCACATGTTCATCAATCATTCATTGTATGTTTATCTATAATATATCGGTGTTTTTATTATACGAATTTATGCCCTTCTTAAGTTTTTATTTATTTATAAATCTATTTTATCTTCCATAGTTCATGTTTTATGTATTATACATCTTCATTTATGTATATTTATGTTGATTGTAATTATGTGATTTTGACTACTATGCCATATATTGCTACATCTGAATTAATATTATATAATAATAATTATCATTGTTATATCTTGTTATATTTATTATTTTACCTTATGAATATTACTAATATGTCTGATTTATTATATTGTTTGTCGAATACATATAAATTATGTCCTTATTATGTTTTATATAATATGCCTATTTTGAATCGCTTGTTTACTCTTACGTCTATTTTTATCATATAATATTTTATGACTATTTCCATCATAATTTATCTTGTTAGCATGATTTCTTACGTCTATTTTTATCATA